ATAACACTAAATCACAAGACTAATTATTAAATAGACTGTTTCAGAAAGGACGGTCCAAGATATTAGCACCAGAGTTGCAAATGAGTGATCTGCGTCATGCACACAAAAACAAGCAGTATATGAACGACTGCGCAAAATTTTTCTGAAAGTACACGACCGGTTTCGCGGCTCCTGCCTCTCGTGGGGTTTCCGAATCTGCCACTCTTTTGTCACTATGCTTGTATCCAGAATGCGTATTTTCATCACAGATATCTCATTTGCAACACCGGGTAAATCCGCTTGGACAGCTCTTTCAGAACAGGTTCATTTATAAACCAATTCCATGATTATATTTCAAGTAGCGGGGTCAGATGCTACTCGTCGTAAAAAATGTGACTCAAGCGTCTTCAGTGAATACTTTACAATAATTAGCATATGAATCATTATCATTATCATGAATCACGAGACTGCACCTTGACGTGGTGATGGCTTGCGTGCCTCAATGACCGGATAGCTACACAGGATGGCTTCTCACAGCCGTAGATCCAATCATGCCTGAAAGGTCAACGGGTAGAGGCCAGACGAAGCTCAGTCTCATAAAGCCAGCTGCTTGGGCAACTCATGGCTTCATTCCTTCTATCCACATCCGCCCCTGGAGAGCCCACTCCAGCAAATAAACACGGCGAGGGCCAGATTACCTGTGGAAAAAACCCCGCTAGATGGACGTGGGAGCAGAGTACCTGGGAGCTTCCTCTCGACAGTGGGAGAAGTCTTCTTCGTTGAACAGCTACCACCCGCCCAAGCTGGGTAGCCTCCAGCCAATAAGGTGCTGCCCCGTTCACGTTCCGCTTGGCTCATTGGGTGCATGAGGCTAAGGGCTGATCCCAAAAAGCGGACCGATAATCAACGCACCAGCGAACAACAAATTTAACTGAAATCCAAAGGCCTTGTATGACAAGTCTCCAGAAGCTCGCACACTGGTGCTTCGTTCACGCTCCCGCGTTGGATTTACGCCCCACTGCCTTATGGGTCAGACTCTTTAGTCAAAGGATCCGGTTAGGATTCCCAAAGAAAAACCCCTTCGTCGGTGTGGGCTATCGCGAAGTATGTCGTGCCCTAAAGTCTTAGGCACCCATTTGGACAACCATCTTTCCCATCTGTCCAGTTCTTCTTCTCAACCCCGAATAATCCCAGGTGCCTCCTGTTTACGCCACTTATCGAATACCAATCAGCGTTTTACAAACAAGGCCAAACAATCAAAAGCTATAGGATTTTTAATGCCAAAATCTCTTTTTCACTTAGCCGAGTTCAATGTCCACACGCTCTATCAGACTGGCCAACAAGCTGTCCTGGCTAGAACCCTCGAAACTTTCAATGTAGATGTATGTTGTGTTTCGGAAACACGCATACAAGACCCCACTTCCATTTTCTCTCTGCGTTCTTCAGATCCAACCTCAACCTCAGGCTTCACCCTTCGTGTGTCAGACGATTCGGCATCCGAAGCTCGCGGAGTTGCTGGTGTCGGGATTGCAATAAGTGCCAAGGCTGAGCGCTCGCTTCTTGACTGGATTCCAGTCAGTAGCCGATTGTGCGCCGTACGTCTTAACGGTTCAGTTCGAGTCAACAGCTACAGAATGAAGCGTCGATGCTCATTCGTCGTATCGGCGTACGCAGCAACCAATTGCAGTATACCTGAAATCAAGGATGAATTCTACAAGGATCTTTCTCAACTACTCCAAAGTGCTCGAGCAACGGACGTCGTAGTAGTCGCCGGAGATTTCAATGCTCAAGTGGGATCCCTGGACGAATCAGAAAGGCTTCTTGGCGGACCACATGCAATCCCAGCCAACCGGACGGACAACGGAGATCGCCTTCTTCAAATTTGCACGGACCACGGATTGTTCCTGTCAAACACGAACTTCTCGCACAAGAAACGCCATCGACTTACATGGAAACCGCTAACCTCTTCACTGCGATGGACCCAAATCGACCATATCGCCATCAGTTACCGCTGGAGGGGATCAATTCAAGACTGTCGCTCTTACTGGTCAATAGCTGTGGATAAAGACCCCGCCTTGTTACGAGCCAAGTTCTCCTTACGCCTGGCAAACAACCGAAAAAAATAAGCCACCGACGACGAATACTCACGATACAGTGTCAGCGATTTATGCAAATTGGCATTCGAAGCGGAGCTCTCCGATCGCCTGTCAGTTCAACCGCCAGCCGAAGGACTCAATGAACACTGGAAGCAAATCAAGGAAGCTATGCAGATATCGGTAAAAACAACGTCGGACACTGCCTCAAGCTCATAACACAAACGATGGATTTCGTCGACCCCGGTTACCCTGCTGGAGGCCCGCAGAACCCTCCCTCCTGATGCCACATACGACACAGCGCGCAAATCCCTCAAACACCAGCTCATCAAGAGTCTGAGACATGACCGCGAGAAGTGGTGGGTAGAAAAGTGTAAAGAGATGGAGAAAGCTGCGGCTAATGATAATAGTCGTAACCTTTTCCATCTAATAAGGAATACGGGTCCTAGGAAAATAGGTGTACGTGAGCTAATTAAGGAATCCGATGGCATACTGATTTACGATCAGCAACGTCGTTTTGACCGTTGGGCTGAACACTTCAAGGCTCAGTTCAACTGGCCCCCATCGACACCTTATCTTTCACTCTCCGCCTCGACTGGACAAATACTCCCAGTTGATGCTAATCCTTCATCTGAAATGGAGGTATCTCGGGAAATAAGTTATCTCAAAAGGCATAAGGCCTCTGGCCCAGATGGGCTGTTCCCATCAGCGTTTAAGGATCGAGGCTCAGCGTTAGTCTTGGAGTTGACAAAACTCCTGGGTTCAATATGGGAAAGGGAAAAGGTTCCAGCTGAATGGTGTGAGTCGGTGATCATACCGATTTACAAGAAAGGTAAAAGATCCTCTTGTGAAAACTACCTAGGAATTAGTTTAATCAGCATTGTCTCTAAACTTCTCGCTGGCATCATATTCCACCGATTGCCTGCCGCACGTGAAGAGTGCACGTGTGAGAACCTGGTTGGTTTTAGGCCCGGTCGAAGTTGTATGAACCACATCATCACTGTCCGCCAAATTCTGGAGCATCGACACTCTTTTTCGTAGACCCACCATCTCTGTCTTCCTAGATCTGAAGGCGGCTTTCGACTCAGTCGACCGCTCTAAACTCTGGCGCTGCCTTTTTCTGAAAGGTGTGCCTGAAAAGTTAATTTCAATATTACGATCGCTTTATACAAATAGCCAAAGTCGAGTCCGGGCTTACGGCACTTTTTCGCCGGAGTTCAACACGGAAAGTGGTGTTTGTCAGGGTTGCCCTCTCTCCTTTTCTATTCAACTTTGTTATAGATTTGACTATGGAAACAGCCCTATTCTCGTGCGATGATAGCAGTATCGATTTATTCCCAGGAGGCAGACTGTCTGAACTGGAGTACACAGACGACATTGTGCTACTAAGTGAAGATCCAGGTAAGTTGCAAACATTTCTGGATAAGTTGAATGCCAGCGTAGCCACATTCGGTATGCGTTTTGCACCTTCAAAGTGTAAAATGTCACTACAAGACTGGGTTGGTCCAGCACCGAGCCTCACTCTAACTGGGGAAGTAATAAAGGAGGTGGATAAGTTTTGTTATTTGGGCAGCTACATCTCACCCGGTGGACGCATCACGGATGAGAAGTAATAGAGCAGGTAGATAAGTTTTGTTATTTGGGCAGCTACATCTCACCCGGTGGACGCATCACGGATGAAGTGGAGTTTTGTTATTTGGGCAGCTACATCTCACCCGGTGGACGCATCACGGATGAAGTGTCAGAAGAAGGCTCGGTTGGCATTTGCCAACTTGAGACATCTGTGGCCCCGTCGCGACATCCGGCTGGAGGCTCGGTTGGCATTTGCCAACTTGAGACATTTGTGGCGCCGTCGCGACATCCAGCTGTCTGTGAAGGGTCGAGTGTATGCTCCAGCAGTTCGACCAGTCCTGCTATACGGTGCAGAAACTTGGCCATTCAGGAAACAGGATAAAGATAGACTGTCGGTGTTTGAACACCGCTGTCCACGCAGCATTGCACGAATTTGGTGGGGTAACCGGATGAGCAATGCTGATGTTAGGGGCAGAGTTTTGGGTGTTACGCATGTCACCAGGTTACCACGGCGAGTGATGTTCGCCGAAGCAGATACCGAGTGGAAGAAAGCCAAGGGTGGTCAAGCTAGGACCTGGCATGCGGGTATGAAAAGCCTAACCAGAAGACTGGGTCACATAGGTCCTGTCAGGCTCCCTGGCTGGGGACCTCGGAATGATCGTAACCGATGGTTAGAGACACTGAGCGATAGGGTGGATGTCGTAACAGTGGCGTTCTTGCATCTTCTCAATTTCTTTGAAACCTTAGACCACTGAACTTCTCCATTTTCTTTTCGACTCCACTTTCAACTTTCCTTTCTTCTCCTATTCTTCATTCAAATGGGCAGCCAAAAGACAGCAACCAAAACCGGCGCACGAATATGCGTGGTTAATGGTTGTACAAACTGAAACTGAATATTAATTGACAGTCAGAAATTATAAGAATCCTCCAGGGAACACCAGGATAGTCTAAAGTTCCTATAAACCGGTTTCGCGGTCGAGTGTTTCTGGGAAATTTCACCTGGTTGTCAGATACAACTTATTACCAAACAGTGAAAATCGGCCCTGGTATTGAGTTTGCTGAGGGTATACGCACCTAACTAACAAAAGCTAACACAACCAGCAATGAGACTTCGAAGTGGGCTTCTCTCGAATTAACTCAGTGATGAAAATGAAGTTTGCGGCGCTAGACATGCACATAAATCTTTGAAAGAAAAAAGATTAATCTCGCTTAGTGTTTTATATTTTTATCATTTAATTATGGTTGGTGGAACTCGGCCTTGCCGACTGCTTGAAATGTAATGCTTATTATCCTACAATAATATACAAATTTCATCAAAGCTGTACAGATATGTACAAAGTCAAACAATGCATGGGTTCAAGGAAGTGAAGTAGAATCTGGTTCACATAATTGCTCTGGAGTCTGATTTTCGAGTTCCCTGGTCACTACTGTTCCAACCGATGGCACAACAAAGGCCTGACGTAACTCAGGTGCGGGAGAATCACTCAAAGCCGCGGGTGTTCCCGTGGTATACATCGGAGTCTGTGGATGGTAGCATACTGGTGGGGGTTCCCGAGAGCCAGGACTGCGTGGTGAAGGGGACATGTTCCAATTCTGGAACTCCGAACGGAAGTCATTGCGAATTGAAGCCGGTGTAGCACCGTAAGACTTCGAGCAGAGGATAATTTTTCTCCGAAACGGTTCATTTGGACGAGGGAGTTTGATGGTATCGAAGTATGAAAATCCCAGGTCGACCAATAACGGCTCCAACTTCACAGGATCGATTTTTAATGTTTGGTAAGTAGACCTTTGTTTAGCCTGGGAAAATAATACATTAGGAAATGGAAAGCCTACCGTGAATCGCGTTTTTCTGTACGAAGATTTGGGTTGAGGTTCTAATATTAGATGTCCGCCGGGCTTTAGGAGGTTGAATGCTCGTCTAAAAAAACGCATCAGACCGGCATCACCATAATTGAGATGAATCCATTTTGTGACACTGAATGCCATGATAGTATCATATTCCGGTTCTTCCGTAGGGGTTGCGTTATCAATCCAGTTGGCCACCTGAAAATTGATTTTGTCATACCGGATGGCAGAACCTATATTCCACCGAATCCTTTCCTTTTGCATGCTTTTCGCATTAGCGATCAACTCAGCATCACAATCTAGGGCATCGATTCTACGAACATCAGGAAAACGCTCCAAAACTCCAAAAGTAAGAGTCCCATTATGGCATCCATAGTCTGCAACGTCTTTACCGATAAACCATTCTGGCATAAGATATGGCAACCGGTCGTTTGGGTCGCGACGAAAGTAGTAGCCTTCGTAATTACCGGTAACTGGTAAGCGCCATCTGTGTGCTCGGCGGCGTGAGGAATAACGATGACTACCACCCCGAGTGGATCGAATTCTGCTTTCTGGTGCTCCAGACTTGCCTATGGATTTGGGTGTGTTATCAGGTGGTTTCAAATCCGAAACTGATGGAACAGGTTGGAGTAAGGGGCTTTCACCCCCCATATCCCCAGCACTACTCAGAGCAGGTGTGTTTAGTCGTGAATCACCACGTAGCGGTGACAACCCTTGTACTCTGCGTCTTTCAGTTTCTTTCATCAAATCCTGTAGATTAAGTGGATCGCTGGGATTGAGAGGGGCCCTCGGTTTGGGACCCCGGCTTCTTTTCCGCGGCCGAAATCGATATCTTACGGAGCCACGACTGGTTTTCCAGGTTGCACGGGATTTTCTACCACGACTGCGGAAAAAAGGCTCTGATCGGATAGTTGTGGTTTGGTCAAGAGGTTGAGGACGAAACATTGACCTGTGAGGATCCAAAGCAGGAAACGGGATGGGCATGCCCGTGTGATGAATTCGCGGCCAGCTGTTGAACGCCCTTGGAATTAGTCGACCAGGGCATAGTTCACGAGCTCGAAAGATCACTAAAAGTAACACAAAAGTGTGAAACAAACTATGATACTACAGAAGGTTCGTAGTTTATTAAATTAGAAGCGAATGAAACATACTGTTCGTCTATTTTTTATAAATTTTAAAGGGAGTTGGTACATCTTACTTTATAGGGATACAGTTATAAGCTTCTTCTATAGAAGTTTCCTGGGAGCAAGCCTGTACTGTACTTTACGCTTGTCTTAACCCTGACTGAATTAACCAAACCGTGATAAAGAAAACATGACATATATGACAACTAAATAAATCTACGATTGGTCTTGGGGGCAATACAAAGATTGTTCAAATCAAAGTAGGTTATAAGACACACGTGTTGTAGATTTATTATTGTCCTTTCTGTTGCATAGATTACTGATATTCTGGGTGCATATCCTTACATTTCGCTTGTCCCGTTTTAGCTCTCAAGCCTCATTTTCGGTCGATTAAAGTCTATCATTAAGGCGTTGTCTTCTGGCTTGTCTGCCGACTAAACGTGTGATCTGCTACACTACAAGTTCTCACCAATCATATAATCAGCTCCGTTACAACATGAAAATATGTAAAGATCGCACAGTGCTTGAATTAAAAATGACCGAAAATTAAATCGGAAGACACCTTTAAAGCCAGCTAGATTGGTTTCGATACGGGAGCCGCTAGTTGAAAATGAGTCATTGGAGCAATAGTTTGAGGTACTATGGTCTAACACCGTTATCCACAAGCAACTCGCGTTGGGCTTCGGAGCACATCCTTCAGAAACAACGGGCTAGCAATTCAAAATCCTAGCAATTGTGTTGCCAGCTACCTCCTAGTTTGACCACCCTTGCATTTTTTTCACCTATTAACTGCCTTGGAAAACATCGCACATCGTGGAAATCTTTGATGGCATGTGCAACACGCCTTAACCACAGTACTCTATGGTGGTCGAGCACTTGCTCCAATGGGTCTCGAGTTGGCAAACGCAAACAAAGCCTTCGGTGTACGTGTTGAAAGTTCATATATGCGGCATCCGCCAGGTGAGATATAGTTGCCAAAATAGCAAGAGTTGTTTGCACTGTCTACCGATTCATTGTGAGGTTGGAAGCTGAATCTATCCAGCCCTGTAACATATTGCACTTTGAAGGTGCAAACGTGGGTGCCTACAGACATCATTGGTAATTTTGAATAGTCATATGATGGAAACGTTTTAGGGGTTGTGACTAGCTTTCAAGATAAAAAGGTCAACCAATTAAATGAAACATTGGCAAAGCACAGACAGACTGAGTTGACGAGAGAGAAAAGATAGACAGTGAATCGGGTGGATCAGCATTGAGGAGTCATAACGAGGATGAAATGGCTGTACTTTGGTTCTAAGGATTTTCAGTGATGAGGGACAGAATCTACGTGAATTAACGTTCAATGACAAATCAAATGTCCCTAATCTTTTCATGCAAAAACCGAATGCTCGTAGGAAGCATAATAACGCGCGTGGTGATGAAGCAGTGGTTCCGCCACCCAACCAACCACCACGACCTACCTTTGATGGTAGGCAGCTTTACTGTCGTCCCGATTTATGTGCTTCGCCACCCCAGGTATTAGGCTACCGGCCTCTACTACTGAATAGATGGTCTACGCGACTCGGGGGTTTTTCCTGTCTGCTGCTTATCACTCAAAACGCGTAAGAAAAATACCAGATGCGCCACTAAATAATGTAATTGTTATCATTCACTCGGAAATGGAATTCTATAACGTGGTTACACACAGACAAACTATTGCAGACAGTAGTTGTGTTAATCATGATCGTCAATGCCATTACCGTACAGTAATATAGTGAGCCGATTATTGACTTGGAGATCTATCCAACCAGCTAGACTCTCATCTTGCAGTGCTATTGGTGAACCACAAAGTACCTAGTTGTGGACTTTGTACTTTCCACCAGTAAACCCAGGGAACGTATGAATTAGTGGATGGAATTCGTATGAAACTCAAAGTGCACTTGCACTGGGTGTAATGCTGTGGTATGACATTGTTTTGTTCTAATTCTACGCGCTCCTGTGGGATCGAGAGGGGCTTGCGTCCGCAAAAAATCATTCGAATAAAGTCGACTAATTTATATGCCTCTAGAGTCATGAATGGCAGAAGCTTTGTTGATAAATGTATTATGCTGTCAAATGATGAACCTGCATACCCATCTCAATAAATCTGTTTCATCCGAGTAAGTTCCAAATTAAGGATTTTCCATCACGTATTACCACGTGCCGAAACACCATCGTCCCTTATTTTGCTCGTATCTTAGTACATCGAGGAACTATCACTACTGTCGTGTATCACAATCTTTGTCTATTACATAGAGCTGTATTCATAACATTTCTCTTTTATACGTTTCAGCCTATACGCCGGAGTTATTAGACGAATAAATTATTATGTTCTGAATACAAGATGACTTGGAAAATCTTTTTTATGATACGAAAATGAATACATTAAGGGTAAACCTCATGATCCAAGGATATACTGTACGTGGGAAGGTAAAGAGGAAAATTCAAGGTAAAACCAGCTTGCTGATTCAGAGTTTAAAAGCACGAATGTTGTACGCTGAAAAGCACACCGAAGGGAGAGTGTTCCACAAGTGTGCTGTTCTTGAGAGAAAAAGATGATCGAAAGTTAGAAATGCGACACCTGGGGATAGTTACTTGAAACGAGGGGGTAGCCGTTTGTACGCGGGATCTACGAGCAAAATCCAAAGTAGTATGGATAAAATAAGGATAAAGAAGCGACTGCCCGAAGGTGAGCTAGTGCAGTTCAGTTCAGTTTTTACAACCACTAACCATGCACTTTCGTGCGCCGGTTTTGGTTGTCTTTTAGTACCCCATTTGGATAAAAGAGCAGAATGAAGATTGGAATGTTGAAAGCAAATTCGAGCGGAAGATGGAGAATTCATACAGAACGGTTTTAGGTAAATAATGAGTGAATGCACGAGCGCCACTGTTTGCGACACCCAGCCATACCACTCCGTGTACTTTACTTTACTTACTTTACTACGGCTGGCTCCTTGGAAAGGATAAGCTGGCTCCGTGTCTAATCATTGATGACCATCATCCCGAGGTCCCCAGCCAGGGAGCCTAACCGGGCCTATGTGACCTAGTCTCGTGGTTAGGGTTTTCATACCCTCATGTCAGGTCTTCGATTGACCACCCTTGATCTTTTTCCAACCGACACCTACCTCGGCAAACATCGCTCGCCGTGGCAACCTATCTGGTGACATGCGTAACACATGCCCCAACCAACGTAATCTATGGAGGTCGACCACTTGTTCCAGTGGACGACAGAAACTGCCTAAAACTCTACGCCTAACCTCAGCATTGCTCATGCAATGCGACGTAGATAGCGGTGTTCGAACACCGACATTTTTTTCATTCTGTTCCCGTAGTGGCCAAATCTCTGCACCGTATAGCAGGAATGGCCGAACTGCTGGAGCATACACTCGACCCTTCACAGACAGCCGGATGTCGCGACGGCGCCACAAATGTCTCAAGTTAGCAAATGCCAACCGAGCTTTTTTGTATGCGCGCCGACAGTTCATCTGTGATGCGTCCGCCGGGTGAGATATAGCTGCCTCCTGTATGCGAGCTGACACTTCATCCGTGATGCGTCCACCGGGTGAGATATCGCTGCCCATATACCACAATTTGTCTACTTCCCCAGCCCGGACTCGATTTCGGCTATTAGTATAAAGCGACTGTAATACTGAAATAAAATTACCGACAGACAATCGACGGAGTATGATACCAGAGAGAAGTTTAGATGCAATGTTGATTAAACTAATCCCTTTGTGGTTTTCACAAGAGAATGTGTCACCTTTTTCGTAAATCGGTATGACCACCGATTCACACCAGTCAGTTGGAACCCGATCAGGAGAGAGAGAGGTGGAAGAAACCCCAACCCCACACATCACTGCAGCATTCGAGTGTAGGGTGAATCTGAGCTTTGTAAAGCGAGAACAGGTAACTGGGGATGAAGAAACATCTGGCGCGGAACAGGAAGTCGATTTTGCGCGCAGCGCGGGGGACAAGTAGATGAATATATTATGACTATAAAAGAGAAGATAAGGAAAGTCCCGATAGGTTGCATGAATCTGTGGAACGGAGAATCTTCGAGTTAAAATTTAATGAAGGGGAAAAGATGATAACAGAAATTGGCATAGGTTTTACTGCCATTGAAGAGAACACGATTGGGATAGCTCCAAGTAGAAATAAGGCCCAGATCAAAAATAAGGGAGAAGCGTTCGTCACTAATGCTGGAGTTAGCAATGCGTGAAGAGAAATAGGACAAAGAAGAGTGTAGGGTAGCGACATCGGTAAAGGCGTGAAAAGGATTTGAAGTTGAAGAGAAGCCAACAATAAACAGAAAAAGGGAAGGGAGAAGTACAGAACCTTGGGGAACACCAGCATCCACAAGCACGGAACGAGACATGGTTCTATCTTCAAGAACGGAGATTCAATGGTCCTTGGGATAGCTCGCGGCGCAGGACACAAAATCCGAAGTAAAGTCAAACTTGGGTAGTTTAGCCAACAGACTCGCGTACTAGATAGGATTGAGAGCTTTCGATATACCCAATGACACCATATGGATTTATCCGTGTTTGTCGAGTACCGCTGACCAAGTATGTGAAAAGAGCACCTGAAAATAACCAGTAGATCGATGGGGTCGGAAACCATACTGGTGGATTCCAAGCACCTTGTTCTGATCAGGGTAGCGGTGAAGTTGATCTGCAACAACTATCACTATTATTTCCAATTACAGAGAACTGACAAATGTGCCACAATATATGAACAGAAAGAAATCTGAAGAATGTGTTCATAGTTTGAGGACGTTACTTCCCGTTCGCCCTGATCGAGGAA